ACACACACACACACACACACACACACACAGAGAGAGAGAGAGAGAGAGAGAGAGAGAGAGAGAGAGAGAGAGAGAGAGAGAGAGAGAGAGGTGGGGCAGCGCGGGTCTCTATCCTGCGCGCGCGAGATAGATAGATAGATAGAGAGATAGAGATAGAGAGAAAGAGAGATAGATAGATAGATAGTGGGTCCCTGTGACACACGGGGATGGGGGCAGCCGGTGCTCAACCATCATGCACGTGGCCGGCCTTGTACGTAAGAAGTGATGAACAGGCGGTGCTTTCCTTCCTTACTTCTTTCCTTTCTTTTTTTGTTTTGTCTTTTTCCGCCTTTGCGCAGGCAACACTAATTGTAGGACAGATAAAGCTTTCGACACTACCAACAGATGCGGAGCTGAAGAAAGAAGAAAGAAAAAAAAAAGAAAAAACGAAAAAAAAAAAGAAGGAAAAAAACAAATTGCTGAAGAAAAGAAAAAGGAAAACAAGAAAAAGGAAAAAAATATGTTGAACTTTGTTGTGACAGTGGCAATTGGTTTATTTGTGGGATGTGTCATTTGCTTTGTTTGACCGACTGATAGGCCTTCCTCTTCCTCTTCCTCTTCCCTTGTCCTTGTCCTTTCTTTGATTGGATCCTTTTCTCTCTTTCTCTTGCCTCTGTGAGTTCTGGTTTCCTCCTCCTTTTCTTTACCTCCTTTTTGCCTTTTGGCTGCGTGCAAGTGGGTCCTTGTGACACACGGGGATGGGGGCAGCCAGCGCTCAACCTGTCATCCACGTGGCTGGCTTTGTACGTAAGAGGTGATGAACAGTTGGGGCTGTCCTTCTTCTCCTTTCCTTGTTTTGCTCTTTTTCGCCTTCGCGCTCTGATTCACAGTGTGACAATATATAATGTCACAAAGATGTCAGAGCGCAAAAACGAAAAAAAACAAGAAAATATATATGTGTGGATATATCGTCAAACAGAGCTGTCCGTCCCGGTTCCCCGTAGGCAGAAGAGGACAACAACAAACGAGGAGCTGTGACAAACTGTTTCGTCGGAGTCTCAGCAACAGACTTATCAGGAGGTAAAAAAAAAACAAAAAACAAAAAACAAACAGACTCATCAGGAGATTGTACGTATGTGTATATACAGAAATATATGTTTGCTTGCGCTCCGTTTCACAGTGCGACAATACATATGTATAGAGATGTATGTGTATATATACCAACCGGTCCGGCCGTGTCACCTTTGGTTGCCCGGGCGGTCACGCCGGGCAAGGGCCAGGGAAGGTTCCTGAAAAAAAAAAAGACAACGGAAGAATTCCGAAAAAGAACTGTGTTGTCTAGAAAAAAWGACAACTTTTGCCTCAGGGTCGGATCGAAATTCTTTGCGAATGAAAAAAAAAAAAAAAAAGGTATTTAGTTTTTACTTTCATTTTGTGAATGGGAGAATTGTTGAAATGCCCCTGAAAGTTTAGGTATTTCATCAGATGCCCCTAAAAAAGGCATGGGTAATGGCGAAATGCCCCCAATGACCGCAGTGGAACTTTGCGAAATACCCCAGTCGCCAATTGGACCTGTCATCTTATGCATATACCCCTACCAGGCCCTAGGCAACTTGTCGATATGCCCCAGTACTTTAGGCCTTTGGACTCTGCACATTGCAAAAGAAACGCATGGGCCCCGTGCAGCCCAGGGCCAGAGGGCAAATGACGATGTTGCCAACGAGCGTGACAGGGGCAGATGCAGAAGTTTGGGGCATTTCAGCGTACCCCTGTGTTGTAGGGGTATCTCACGAAATACTCTAACATTTAGGGGTATTTCAACAAATTTCCCCCCCCTTTTTTAACTCATTTTTGGCCCGGCCGGGCAAGTGGTCCCGGGCCACTCTGGTAGCTGTTTGATCACAGAACTTACAATTTGGACCCATTTTTTTCGATTTATGCGCGTCATCCTTGCGCAGGGGTCGGATTGGGAAAAAAAAAAACCAAAAAAAAAACTTTTCTCTGTCGTTCCAATTTTAAAGGATGTCCCGAAGGACATTTTTTGGAGATTAAAAAACGAAGGTAATTGAAAGAAAGAACGAAGAGGATTGGGGGGTGGGGTTGGGGGTTGAGGAGAGTGGGAGGGAAATATGTTATATTTATTTAATTGTTGTTGAGGCATTTGTTTTGAAACAGACCCCTTGTGGAAAATAAATTTGCAGTCGAAAAATAAATTGCTGACGTTTGTTCGGAGAGTAGGAGCTCTGCTGGGAACGACGTTGAAAACGCTAAGCAGGCATGGAACACCGAGCTATGGCGGGAGAGGAGAAGGAGGGGGGAGAGGAGGTGGACGAAGAAGCGATGGTAGAGCAGCAGATGCTTGCAACAGCCTTGGTAGAGCCATTAGCAAGTCTACCACCCGTTGATTTCGCCTTCGCTTATGGTTCTGGTGTCTTCTCTCAGCGTCTGCCGTTATCTGACGGAGGAGGAGGAGGAGGAGGAGGAGGAGGAGGAGGGGAAGGAGGAGAAGGAGGAAGAGTAGGAGGAGGAGAAGAAGGAAGAGGAGGAGGAGGGGAAGGAGGAGGAGGAGGAGGAGGAGGAGGAGGATTGATGAGGTCTATCTCGATGCCAACGTCGAGCTCAACGCGGACTGCCCGGAAGAAGAATGTGGATATGAAGCGGCGGGTTATTGGCGGGAAAGAGCATGATCAACCGGATAAGGTGGATACGAAGTGGCGGTTAATTGGCGGGAAAAAGCAGGATCAACGGGATGAAGCCCTAATGATCGATTATGTCTTGGGCGTTGATTGTCCTGAAGCTTGGCATGGGGAAAATCTTAAAGTCAATCGGGACCATTACTCTGGGTTTGTGAGCAGGTTGGGCGGTGGCTCCGTCGCTGCCGCCATAGCTGATCGAGTCGGTGTGGGAGTGCATTTCAACACTCTCGTCCCTTTGCCACGTGGCGGTCTCATCAAGTACGGGGTAATCAGCACGCAGCGTTTGCGAAGGGATCTGGAAGAGTGGGAATCGTTATACGTGAGCGGGAGGCTGCAGAAGCCTGTCAAAGTGCTCATTGATGACGTGGACATGATGGGGCGATCGTGTTCCAAGAACCTGAGGTCGGCTATGGCGGCAGCGATGCTGCTTCTGCCACTTACCTTCTCCGAGATGGAGCTTCTTTTGTCGCTTTGCGGTCTGTCTTATCTTGGCGATATGAGAATGGGACTCGCAGAGGATAGGGACAAGGTCATGAAGATCGCGACCGGGAGTAGAGCAGACTTGCTCACGTGGTATCGGGATCCCATATCACATTTTGAACGTTTAGGATGCCTTCAAACCACATCGCCGCAATCTCCTCCTCTTCCGCCTGCTTCTTCTTCTTCTTCTTCTTCTCCTTCTTCTTCTTCTCCTTCTTCTTCTTCTTGCTTGTCATCTTCATCGCCGTTGTATTGGGAGCAAGATGGCTCAGAACATGGGAGAGAGAGACTGTTGGGGGCGCTTCCGGAGGGAGTGGTGCGAGCTTTGGCTATGGCGGCGGGGTTCAGAGGTTTACATAGTAGGACAGCGAGAATGGGAGACCAGCTTGATGATTGTATGGCTATGGAGAAGGAGAAGGAGGAGGAGGAAGATGGAGAGGAGAGTTCATCGTTGAAGCTAGAGATGGCGAGATATGTCGCACGGACTATGGATAGAGATGGGTGCACCTCGGCCCTGCGGGATCGGATCTCGTCCATTGTCAGATCATCTAGTCAGCGACAGGCTGCTGCAGCTTTCCTCTCTGCAGGGGGGTACAACTCTCTGCGGTACGTGGGAAGAAAGCTTGCCAAGGCATTCAACTCTCGCGTCTGGCGGCTTCGATGACGTGGCTATGGTGACGGATTGGACAACGACCCACACATAGCTGAGGTATCGTAGTTTGTTACTTGATCCGACGGCTGGAGGGGGGGGAGCGAGCGAGCGAGCGAGCGAGAGAGAGAGAGAGAGAGAGAGAGAGGTATATCGATCATAGATGTCGTCGTCGTCGTTGTCTTAAGTCTTTCGACCGACAGACAGATGCAACGTAAAACTCTTTCATTCTATCGGGAGGAAATGATGGGGGGACCAAAAAAAAAGATAAGAAAAGAAACGATGGAGCAGCTGCGTGTTTGTCAGAAGCAGGAGCTGGGTGTTTGTCAGAAGCAGGAGCTGGGTGTTTGTCAGAAGCAGGAGCTGGGTGTTTGTCAGAAGCAGGAGCTGGGTGTTTGTCAGAAGCAGGAGCTGGGTGTTTGTCAGAAGCAGGACGTGTGTGTGTGTGAGAAGCCAGAGTTTGCGTCCGTGTTGGTCAGAAACAGGACCGGCGTGTTTGTGAGTAGCAGGCAACTGAGAGTGTGTGTCAGTAGCAGGGACCTGCGGCTTTGTGCTCGAGCAAGTGCAGAAGAACGTCATAGCTATGGCGGGCGGGTAGCATGGCGATGTCATCTTCTTGGAGAAGGAAGGGTCGGAAGGAGCACGTGGGCGAGGAGGAGGAGGAGGAAAAAGAGTTTGGTTTCGCGAGGTGCAGAGATTGGAACGGCGCTCGTTGATAATGAGGAGGAGAGGGTGAGCGAGATTGTTGCCGTCCTCTTGGTAAAGTAATATTGGAAGGAGCACGTGGACAAAGAGTCGTCGGGGGAGGAGGAGGAGGAGGGAGGAGGGAGGAGGGAGGAGGAGGAAAATGGGGTTGGTTTCGCGAGGTGTAGGGATTGGGACGTGCGTGGAAAATGAGGGGGTGGTAGGTTAACGATAAAATCGTCGTTCTTCTGAAAATAGAGAGAGGACAGAGGGCAAGGCCGGGGGAAAAAAAAAGGAGGAAGAAAGTATGGGGTATCCTATAGATTCGCAGTGCGCTTCAAAGAAAGAACCGTTAGTTCGTCGGTTAGAGGAGAGGAGAGAGAGTAGGGAGTCGGCTAGAGGAGAGGAGAGAGGGTAGGGAAGGGAGGGGCGAGGGGTTAGGGGTGGAGGAGATGTGGGGAGACCGGTTTTATATGTGTCAAAGCGGTTTAGGAAAAGTTTGAATAAGGAGCGAGAAAGGGGGTTATGTTTCCCGGCACACACACACACACACACAGAGAGAGAGAGAGAGAGAGAGAGAGAGAGAGAGAGAGAGAGAGAGAGAGAGAGAGAAAGAGAGAGAGAGAGAGAGAGAAGGTACCTGGGAACCTCATAACGAATGGTTTAACCGATTAAGCGTCAATGGTTACTGCTTAGGGAGGTTTGTCCTTAGAAATAGAAAATAAAAAATAAAAAAATAGGAGGTTTGTCCTTAAAAAAAATAAAAATAAAAAAATACAGGACTCTTCTTTGTCTTTTCATGCTCTCTGACCTGCCTGTACTTTGCGATTTATGCTGGATACGATGAAGTGTGGTTCAGAGGAAGAAATTGCAAGCTTTTGAAAAAAAAAGAAGAAAAAAAAGAAATTGCAAGCAATTTTCTGAGGGAAGAAAAAAAGAAGATGTTGCGAGTTGCGAGATTGCAATCAATTTCTCGAGAGAAAAAAAAAAAGAAGATAGCGCGAGTTGCCGAGTTATGAGGGCCTCGGTCCATTACTCACGACATGCACAAAAGACAAAAATATATGGCGGTGTATCTGCCCGTGTTATAGCGGAAGATTCATTCTCATTTGCACATTTGTTGGTGAGTAGTGGAGCGAAACACATTTTTCCTGACTTTAGTCACATCTAACCCTTGCAGTTCTGAATTGGAAAGTTTTTTTTTTTTTTTTTTTGTTTTGAAAGAATGATTTCTGGATTTTGAATTTGAGTAGTCCATGTACATATTGCCCTTAATAATTCAGTTTAGATTCTTTCTCTTTTAGTCCTTCTTTTCCCTTTTTTTTTTTTTGTTTTCCTTAGAACTTCAGACTTGCACATGAGACTTAATGCCGTGCATTCAATTTCTTTTTTTTTCCTTTTTCCTTTTTCCCTTTTCGTTCGTTGGACCTTCAAATCTGTTCACGAGAGTTCTTGCCGTTCGTTCAATTTCCATTTTTTCCCTCTTGGCCAGTAGTAGATGTTGAAGACGCTTACAGTACGATTGGGGAGAGGTAAGCACGTGAGGGTAAACCAAGCTATAGGGGTCGAAAGGAAGATTGACAGATGGAGTAGAGGGGTGATAAGACGTAGTGGGTAAAGAGGTAAGCACGTGGAGGGGGGGGAAGGGGATGTTTGAAATTAAAGTACAAAGGAATAGATACGAGGCTACTGCAAAAGAAAGAAAAAGAAAAAAAAAGATAAAAAAAGAAAAAAAAGAAAAAAAAAGAAAAAAATTAAAAGAAAAAAGAAAAAAAGGAAAAAAAAAGAAAAAAGACACGAGGCTACTGCTAGATCGGAGCAACCAGGCCCTCCGCTAGGGGGGGGTGCTCCTATCACCTCTCCTAGCGGAGGGACTGGTTTCTTTTCAAAATAAATAAATAAATAAATAAAATAAAATAAAATGATATGAGGCTACAGAGATGGAACAGGACTTACCAAGAATAGGCACACAGACACTGAGACGGTTTTGGGATGGTTTGGAGACCTGCGGCCCGTGAGACTGCTAGGGACGCCCCCCCCCCCCCCGCCCTTGCTCGCCCCTTCCTGGGGTCCCCCTGCTGTGTGACTGGGTGCTGCCAGTGAGCTTCCCGGCCAGCAGGTGAACCCTTCAACAAGAAAGGCCATGGTTTGGGGGTGGGACGTTCCGTAGCAGCCCCGGCCCCCTCCCCCCCCCTCTTAGGCGGCTACCGTGGTGCCACAAGGGCCAGGCTGATCTTCTTCCGTGTCCTTGCTCTTCGTTTCCTTGTAAGAAGATGCTTGCCGGTAATATAGTAAGCAACTGGAATAGTAAGCCCCCCAGAATAGTAAGAAGGGGGGGGGGCAGTGCGTTGGTGGGGGGAAACAGAAAAAAAGAAAGATCTTCAGACGGATTTGCTCATGCATGATACTTAATGCCTTTGGTTCAATTCAACAATAACTTTTTTTCTATTTCTGCTTATGACAACTCTGACTTGCTGCTGGTTAACCCTAAACAACAAAGAGAAGGTGGGCTTCTTTAAAGGGGGGGTGGGGGGGTATTTACAGGAGGAGGGAGGGGTATTGACAGAAGAAGGTGGGGGGTGTTTAAAGGGGTCAGTGACAGAAAGGAGAGAACGGGGTTATTTACAGAAGGAAGGGGTTATTTAACTTAACCTTGGGCTCTTCAAGATGACTGGTTGTCAATTGAGAGCACGTACATACATCATGCTTCTTTCATTTGTGAAACTTGGATGTTCTAGCTACAGGTAAATGGGCTATGGTGAAAATTAGATCTTTAACATTACGGGGACCTGGCAGTGCCAAATGGCTGAATGGTACACGTGTGCATGCATGCTTACGGTTGACCAAACAGGTCAAGAGTTCAAACCCTCCTCCTCCATGACCAAATCATGTTAGGGGGGCACCCACCCCCTCTTAACAACGATCTTTGAACCAGGGGTAACTTAGCTATTATGACCGTCCGGGAAGAAGTCAATCAACGGGGGTGATGATGATCAGACGGTGACCAGCAGGTCGAGAGTTCCAACCACCCTCCTCCTCAATGACAAAATAATGTTAGGGGGGCACCCACCCCCTCTTAACAAAGACCTTTGAAGCATGGATACTTTATACATTATTAATAATATCCCGGAATAAGTCAACGGTGATGGTGATGATGATCAGACGGGGTGTGAGAAAGGGACAGGTCGTTCGGTCTGACCACCTCCCTCCTACTGTCTTTCCCTGGAATGTAACCCACCGTCCTCATCATGACCGTATCGGACCCCTCATCATGACCGTATCGGACCTTAAACCTAGTTTGTATACGCTCATCGTGGGGGCTCGGGGGAAGACCGGTCTTGTGTGAGAGAGTGACAGTTCATCGCTCAGGGTTTTCATTCCAACGCACCTGCATCGTGCCTTCTGTCCCACCTATGGGAGACCGAAGGCACAGGACTGTACCCGACCGGAAACCTAGTTTGTATTCATTCATTGTCGGTATGTGTTGTGTTCGTGGGAAGATGAATGCTGCCAATGATGGGTCGAATGTGTCAGCCTTGGAAGTCTGCGCACGCTACTGTGTGTTTTTGTTTTTGTTTTTCTTCCCTTTCTTGGAGTCTGCACTCACTACTGTGTTTTTTTGTTTTTGTTTTTCTTCCCTTTCTTGGAGTCTGCGCACACTATTGTTTTTTTTTTTTTTTTCTCCTTCCCTTTCTTGAATCACCACTACCTGCAGCACTCCTGACATTAAAAAGGTTTGATGAAGTCGGGAGGCCTGTAACACTCCTCAACCGCCGATTGAATTTATCGATGGCAGGCATACCACTACGGAGATCACAGGGTGAGGTTGAACCGCCATTGCTCGGAGGCCTGCAGGTACTGGTGGATTAAACCACACCAAATCTTATACTCACTCTACTGTTAAAAGATCCAGCCTGCCTCTTTTTTCCACCCCCCCTCAAATCCCGGATTGAGGGCTTGTCGTATTCTGACATAACTGTCTGGCTAGGGGGTTTTGTTTTTGTCTGCGTCCCTCCCCCCCCCACCCCCCCCACCACCACCACAAAACGCCCGTTTCAATCCGTGATGGAACAGGTTATCTGATTCTGACGTAACAGCTTCTCAGAGTTCCCATTTGCGTTTTTTGGCTGGGGGTGTTCCCTGGAACATAACTCCGTATCACCATGAATGCATGTAGGCTCTATCCTGACCACATACAGTCGATTAGAATAATAGGGAGTCCTCCTCATACAGCTGATTAGTAATAAACAGTCATGTATTAATCACCGCTAGT